CCCCCCAACGTTTTCAAAAGTTAAAATATTTTATTTTTACTTTACTGATGGGGGCTTCAGGGAAATATAGGGGGGCTAAAAAAGATCCCAGATATTTCCATTTTAAAATAGAAAAAGATTGGATGACAGAGCCCTCAACCTCTTTTTCTACAGTCCTTGTTATAAATGAACAGGAATCCTCTGAGTGTTCCTGTTCATTTATAACATGAGGACAGAGTATGTTTACTATATCCACAATCATAAATAAACAGGAGGTGATGTAGATCACTTCCCATTCATAATTGGGGACACAGTAAACATACTCTGTCCTCAATTATTTACAAACATTCAGCAATCAGTGATCACTGACTGCTTGTACTCCGCTTTCCATCCTGACATGCAGTCACGTAAGGCTGGGACCCCACCTTACAACCATTGCAAGACTTCTGTCTTGCGATGGTTGTAAGGTACTTAAAAAAAAAAAACAAAAACAAAAAAAACATACGATCTGTCTATCTTGCATAGGCAGATCGTACTTGCGATGATGGCAAGCCACGCCCCCTGAGGGGCGGGCTTCCGATGACCGCAATGCCGAACGGGCAGTGTGCGCTTGCGCACACCGGCCTGTTCGGCTTTTATCTTACGAACATGCTACACACCCGCCGAACATCGTACGATGCTCGGCGGGTTTTGAAACATGTTCGTAAGTTTAAAGTCGTGCGACCTTACAGTAGTAGAGGTCGCACGGCTTCCATACACCTTACGATAATCGTACGATTGCGGGATCGTAAGGTGTGTGGGCACCTTAAGGCTGAACGAGCGGTGCAGGGAGGAGAACTCAGTCTCCTGACAGGTGACTCCTCCCATGCACCACCAGCCCGGCCTCCTGTGACAGCTGATAGTTGTCTCCGCCCCACACCACCACTCTCCCGATCGGTCACAGGAGGCAGGAGGAGAGCTCAGCCTCCTGTGACAGCAATGACAGCCGTCACCATCCACACAGCTCTCCATCCTGATCTGTGACAGGAGGCTGAGCGGTACAGGAGGAGAGACACCAGCTGCTTACATCGCTCTCCTCCCACAACGCACAGCCTCCTGTGACAGTTTCTCTCCTCCCCGCAGGGACACAGAGCAGCGGGAGGGGAGAAACCAGGGTTGTACCTCTATTTTGGCCAAAAGATGGCACTTTAAGCATTTTTGCCAAAGTGCCATTTTCGGCCGATGTGTTTCGGTGCATCCCTAGTTACAACACACATTAGCTATCCAGAAAACATACCTGCATTTAAGGGAGGAGTGCAACAAAAAAAGTCTGAAAACCGTTACTCACAGCTATGCTGACTGTTTGTTTTTTCCTTATTTTTTTGGGATCTATCTGTGCAATCACAACGTCTGGGCATCGCGCAGCTTCGATCCTAGAGGGGGAGGAAAAATAAATAAAATAAATAAATGAAAACCCAGTTTTGAAACGGAACACCTACATAAACTCACAAAAAAAAAGAAAAAAGAGGGAACAATCCTACAAAAGATTCAAGGATAACATCAGGCAACTTATCAAATGCTGATAACTAGGTCCCCTTAGGATTGAATTGCTAAACAAATGCATTTCTAGGCACATGCCTTGACCTAGTTTGACCCAATACCCCCACAATCATCAGGATTTATAAAACGTTGCTGTGTGCCAAGTGAACGCTGGCACATGCAGTTTAGGGTTTAAAACTAAACTTTCCATGGAGACAAATGTACTGGGATTAACCATTAAATTCAAGCTCAGCAGGACTTGAACAAAAATCAATTGCGGATAAAGTCAAGATACATAATTTGACATGAATATTTAAAAGAGAATTATGGGCAAACTTGTGTTGGCTTTAGTTCTCTTTTGGGTCACAGGAGGCCATTTACTTATGTACTCCTGTGACCAAAAGTCAGCATATAGCATGCCATTGTGTACTATAGTCCGACAGCGCAAATCTGCGCTGCAGCAGGCAAAGTTCCCGATAATATTGTTGAGATCCACCCTGCTGCCTGATTGACAGCTGGCTCTGCTGGTCACTACCACACCTGTTCAAATCTACCTTTATTCTGTGAATCCCCATCCTTAGGTTGGGTTCGCTCCTCAGCAGCGTAGGCATTATACAGATTGGGTGGGCTGTAGTGCCATTGTTCTTAAAGTGCTAGTGCAAAAACGGAATGCAACATACATCCCCGCTGTATGGAATGTAAGAACGTACCCACCCACTTTGTAAAGCGACACACCCCATTGCTTTGAGGACCAAGGACGATAAAGATGGCTTTACAGTCAGTGGGTGTGTATTGGTGAGGAATGGTAAAACATCACTTCCTGTTGGTGACAATAAAGTGTCCCATCTGAATATGGCACATTGGATTGGGACTTATGTTGTGATGGGCCCATCTGACATTTTACCACAGCAACCGTCTAAGATTGGGTCTGAATGCTGTATGAAGTGCACTGGACTTCTTGTATTTACACTATTAGACCCCTAATGTCACCTAGGGACCCCAAAGAAGCTGATGAAGCAGAGATCTGCTTCTTCTCCGGCTACAGACAGAGAAAGGAAAGGCTGAAAGCGGAAGTGACGTAATTCACATCACTTTCGCATTCAGAAATCGGAAGGGAGTTCAGCCGGTGGAAGTGTGCTGATCTCCTTTCCGATCCATCCACAGAGACTTGCCATGCTGGGCCCGCACCGAGAACAGCGGAGGCCAGGATAGCCGGCAAAGCAGCAGAGTGAGCACACTCCCCTCACCATACAAGCTCTATAGCTGCCTGAACGCTTGTATGTATCCACCCGCCCTTATACATCAGCCATCCGACCAGTCATTTAGAAGAATTTATAATATACACACACAAAACTATTTACTGTGCATCAGTAAGAGGTTTTGTTTCCGTGCATTCACGTATAATGTAAGGGCACCCCAACACCTTGCCAACAGACGTGTTGCAGTGCACAGAAATGCATACCATGCATTGTGGTACACTGCATTACAACAAATAGCAGAGGCACATGTTTGGTGCATAAGGCACCCAATTCAAATGAATGGGCGGTCCTTAGACAATGCACATTAATGTGCACGCATGAACACAAGGAAACAGTAGGAATCCAGCCTCAGGGAAGGTTCTGATGTGATCACCCTACATGGGGACCTCTCATCCATTGACGGATTCTACTAGTTCCCATAGTAGATCTGTATATGATAGTACTGCACACCCCTGCAGGAAGTAGAGGAGCACACTCAGGATGAATGGGGATTACACACAATGTTCAGAATGCAATATTGATTCATGCTGTGTACATGCTGAGTGAAGTCACACACTGTGCGCCGTGCATCCTCTAGCCAGGCTGGGGAGAACTGTGACATCCATATTGACAGTCCAGGGGTATGGCTACTTACTGGACCCGCCGCAAATACTCTTGCGGTGTCCGTGGTGGGACTGCAGGGTCAAAGTCCTCGGAGAGGTCGCAGTCCCCCACAGGCAGGAGCCGCGGCATCAGCTCCTCCGGTCCCGAATCCATTTTACCGGCACAGACGTCACCAGCGCTGGACCGCACAGCACTTTATGAGTGGAACGCATGCAGTAAGCGCGCTCCTGATTGGCTGCTCTTCAGTCAGTCCTTACTGCCTGAATGGGGTCACATGTTCTTCAGTGGCGCAGACTTTAGGTTTGATGTTTGTTAAGTGAAAGAATATGCATTACCTACCCTTTTATTATTAAAAATGCATAAATGAAGTATGTTAAAAAAATAATAATTTATTACCATGTATTGTGCAATACGTCTTTTCTTATTAGTGTAAAGCAGGGGCGGGCAATATCCAGCTGTGGTAGAACTACAGATGCATCATGGGACTTGTAGTTTCATCACAGCTGGAGGGCTGGAGTTTGCCTACTCCTGCAATAAAGAATGATGCAGAACAATTAAAGTGAACCTGTGTTTTGACCAGAGAGGGCAGAAGAACAGCTTCATTTTAAAGCTGCACTCCAGGTGCAAGAACCTGCATTTAGATATATACTTTAATGACCAAAGGGTTTAAAGTAGTATTAAAGTCTTTTTTTGGCATATATCTACTGCTAGTAAACAGTAAATATATGCCCCAATATTAAAAAAGTTGGCAAATACCAACAAACTTACCTGTATCAGGGCCGGATCACACCACAAGGGCTGCGTTCCAGAGCGTTCCGCCTCTGGAACACACTGCAACACAAGCCTAATGTGCCTGCGTCCAAGGTGCGGGCGATCGCACTGCGGGCGCAGGGCGTGGCTGCAGTGCCGTTGACTCCAATGCACTGCCACGCCCCCTCCCGCCCCTGAACGCAAGGAGTCGGCCGGCTTACGCTCCAGAGGCCGAATGATCTGGAACGCAGACTTTGTGGTGTGAACCGGCCCTTAGCGCTGCTCGCTTCCACTACAGAAGTCCCAACTCCCAAATGCTGTGAAGGTGGAAGTGTGTGCGGGCGCATGCGCAGTCCAGATCGCCCGAGGGGAGAGGAGGAGAGCGACACTGAAACGCAATGGCACTCCAAATTCATGAGCAAACGTCTATTTATTGACGTGCAGCATAGTAAACAGCTGTTGTTGTAGTAAGCTGGCTGTTTACTATGCTGCACGTCAATAAATAGACGTTTGCTCATGAATTTGGAGTTCCGGTGTCTTTATCTTTACTTGTGATTATAACTGATGCCACACGTTGACTACCGCAGCACCTGCTTTTCAAAGGGATTTGGCAGTCAGGAGGGCGATGGGACCATGGACTTACTGAAACTCAATGGACGCAACCGGGAGCGCACACGCCGGACAGACTCCATGGGACACGTGCAGTCTGCGCTGGATCAGAGACTTGCACCATCGCTGGAGGGAATGTGGAAAACGAGTGGAAGGAAGGAGATGTTCGGATCAAGAGGCATCACATGAGGTAAGTTCTTACAGCAGCATTGTGCGGATCTGCCTTTAATGTTACTTGAAATCCACTTGGTGTGTGCTGAAAGCTTTTGCAAACCCAGATATGACCTTGTAGAAGTAGCAGCAGCAGCAACAAATACTTAGTTACTACAACGGTTGTTCAAAAAATGTGTGTGTGTCCTCCTAATCCTGTTACATGCTCCTGACTTCTGCACTGTAAACACTGTGATTCTGGCCAACAGGGTGGGGGGAATTTATCAAAACTGGAACAGTTGCCCATGGCAACCAATCAGCTTCTCTCTTCAGTTTGCTCAGGTAAGATTTGAAAATGAGACAGAGAAGCTAATTGGTTGCAGTGCAAATCTGCTCCAGTTTTGATAAATTCCCTCCTGTATGCGCACCATGCACATTTTGTACGCTGGATTTTCTGCCACCCCTTAGCCATATGATTTAGCTTCCTTTATTGCGTATGCAGAAAATGACTCCCTCATCCATGCCAGGTATTTGGAACCTGTTCTAGTCATGTTTTCTCTTCTCTTTCCTATTCAATAACTCTGTCTGAAGCAACATTTGTAATGTTCCCCTGAATGACACACAAGTATTTCATACACCACAGGCTCGAGTTTGGGCAAAACTTTTCTTTATTTTACTTAGTTGACAATGATTCTAATGAAGAAAGACAGATTGAACTCAAACTGGGGGTGGGAGAGCCCACACACACACACAGACCGGCGGTGAACTCTCCAGGTGCGGTGCAGGCTGTCACTCACAGGCTGCTCTCTGCTCCTTGACGTGGCATTGGGCGCCGCCATGTTGGTGACGTCACGCAGTGCGCTGGCTGTCTGGCGGCTCGCTGGAGTAGAGGAGTGAGAGGAGAGACAGGTAAGTGTGTCTGATGGCTGCTGTGTGTGTGGCTTGTACAGAGGTAACTGGCAGTGTATGGACAGAGGCAGCTCAGGGCACGGGGTACATACAGACATGGCGGGGCACAGGGCAAACATGCCGGGGCAGGGGGCACCGCTGTGAGTTGGGGCGCTGTGGGTACACACTTAGAGCCCCCCCCTCTTCCCTCTCACATTGAATTACCTGCTGTCCCATTCATGAACACACAGCCGGGGTGATGACTTCTCTGTATTCACACTTCACTGACTCCAACTTTCACCAAGTAACGGTTCTGTATGGGCACCAGGAGCAATGTGCCCCCTGCACCCTCATCAACTGCAGATCTGGAGACCTGGATGGGGAATCTGGATGCATTTGGAGCTTTTATATCCAATGACATTCTAGTATTGCCAGAGAATTATAATTTATAGTATTTTCTCACTATGATAACTATGCCAGGATGGCTGTGCACTCTACCAATCATTTTTTTTTTGTGTGTGGCAGCCAATCAGCTGCTCTCTTCCATTTTCAAAGCCTAACTGAAGTTAGAAGCTGATTGGTTACTGTGCACAACTGCGCCAGATTCTGTATGCTTCAGTTTTGATCAATTCCCCGCAAAGTGTATAGACGTGAGGACGCTGAGGAACGTGTCAATGCTGTAGCATAGGAGGAGGCAGGAGGGAGCGCTGTGATAGCTGGCAGGCTTGGACCTTCCGGTGAGTATAATTTTGTTATTTTTAGACCTAGACGAAAACAAGCACTTAACCCTTGCAGTGTGGGGGTAGACCCACTGCAGGAGTTAAGAAACATTTTTCCTGTACTATCCAATCATGGGAACAGAAAATCCCTGTTTACTTTCATCTGCACATGATTGAAGTGACCACTCACCGAATGTATTGTGTAAACCTTCTCCGCTCCTTTAGTAGATCAGACTGCTTATAGATGCCTTATATGTATTAACAATGTTGGAGCTTCATGAGATGTGTTATGTTATTTTTACTTATTAGGTATATAGAACGTACCAGTGAAATCAAGTGTATTCTGTGTGAATGGCGGCCATAATTGCATAGAAGAAAACTCCCCTTCAGGTTCTTCTTTCCCCCCGGGGGAGGTATTGTACATATAAATCACCTTACAGGTAGTTATTACGGATTGTAGAGCCGATTTGTTGCCAGGTGTTAAATTGCTCGGGAAGACGTTGCCTTGACAGCATGCTGCGTTTTCTCTGGCTCTGTTTATGTGGTAGTTCAAACCCCAGTTTACTTGGTTGTTCAAAGAAGAATCAACAGTCCCTGTACAACAGCCCGTTTACACAGTGAGCTCATTCATTCTTGTGCGTTTTTGCAACATACATGCTCTGTGTGCAGTGCGTTACAGTGCCCTTCATTGTGAATGCTGTTGGACATGCGTTGCAGCCAGAAGTGGCTTAGGCACCAATTTTGGTGCATTAGCAGCTCATTAAGCACATGTTGATGCACAGCATTGCACACGGACGGAAGTCCCGTCGGAGATCCAGTGACGTCACCGGACTCCTCCCCCCTTCCCCAAGTGGCCTCCGTCGGCTAACGAAGGGAAGGGGGGAGGAGTCCGGTGACGTTGATGTCCGTGACGGCTAACGAAGGGAAGGGGGGAGGAGTCCGGTGACGTCGATGTCCGTGACGTTACCAGACTCCTCCCCCCTTCCCTTCGTTACCAACTTGGGCCGGTGAGTACTTGTTCTGCATGAGCGCCAGCAAAGACATTGGCCTATACACATACCGCACAGCAATGAAGTAATAAAATGAACTAGGATCCCACTAATCCAGCACGTTATTATTCTGAGTTGCCCCACTCAAGCGGCGGCCATATTGAGTGGGGCATGTGAGATTAATAACGTGCTGGATTAGTGTGATCCTAGTTCATTTTATTACTTTATTGCTGTGCTGTATGTGTATAGGCCAATGTAGTTGGATCTGTATGTGCGTTATAATTAATCGATTAAAAACATTTAGATTAATCGAACACGAAAATTGTAATCATTAGCAGCCCTAATTCTAATATATTTAGCCAATTTAAACAGTTGGGCGTTGTGCTGACACAGTGATTCCCGGCATTGTAGCTTTTGACTTAGAAATATTTCTGGTGATCATGCCATCTCTGTTTCCTACCATTTACAACACCTGAGTCCTGAAGAGTTTTCAAGCCCCCGAAACGCATTCGCTGTTGTGAGTTATCCTGAGCCAATACTATTGTAAACAGAATTTGGACTCTTGGACTCTCATTAGACGTTTGCAGAACAAGGCATGGTAAGTCTGTAATGGTGAGAGATCAGCTGCAGGGAGGCCACAGATAACACTAGTGACTAGTCCTTTGCCCTCTGTCTGTCTTTTTTTGTGCTCAGCTTCCAGAGTTCAGTTCCTCTTTTGGCGCCAACAATCTGTATAATTTTGTGTACTTTTGAAATGAAATGTTTTCTCCCTTTAAAAAGTTACTTTGTATGTACTTGTTCCAGGTTGTACAGTAACGACTCGCCATGACAACGTTTCTGGAGTTTATTCAGCAAAATGAAGACAGAGATGGAGTCCGCTTCAGCTGGAATGTTTGGCCATCCAGCCGTTTGGAGGCCACACGAATGGTGGTGCCGGTAGCCTCTCTTTTCACACCAATAAAAGAGAGGCCAGATCTGCCCCCGATACAATATGAGCCCGTTCTCTGTAGCCGAACCACCTGCAGAGCTGTTCTGAACCCTCTTTGGTGAGATTTCCCTTTTAAAATAATCTGTCAGAGTGTATCAATGAATTCATTATAATGATAAATGTAGAAATATACTTGTGCTCTGTGTAAATACCATTGAGAGGTCAGTAAAAACACCGGAGGGAATTTATCGAATCTGGAGCAGATTTGCACTGCAACCAATTAGCTTCTATCTCTCATTTTCAAATCTTAACTGAGCAAACTGAAGAGAGATGCTGATTGGTTAGTTGCCATGGGCAACTGCTTCCGTTTTTGTCTGCTCCAGTTTTGATCAATTTCCCCCACTGTGTTTGGGAAAGAATTAAAATAAATACTTTGGTGGGCAATGTATATTCATTTGATATGGATGTATTATTGAAAGAAATTAGTGTAATACTCCTTTAACAAATGTTGCTGCTTTAAAAACCCGCATTGCATTGTGGGAGGAGATGGGAGGACGGAGTGCTGCACTCCAAATATAACCTTTTATAATAATATGGAACTTTCAAACTTTTTTCAATAATAAATCCAAATCAAGCAAATATACAATAACCCATCAATCAATATGTTTCTGAGCTGCTGGACACCCAGCTCAGCTTCCCTGAACTTCCTGTCCAGTACAAAATCACAAGGGGCAGCACGGTCTCCAGCAATGGAAAGGGGGTGGGGGGGGGGCAACCTAGCAAGGGAAATTAACCACCCTAAAACAGGGTATCAGGGACAGTGCTCGGGGACCAGCTGATTCTGCAGGAAGCTAAAATAAAATCAAGGCGCAGCATCCATTCTAAGTGATTTAATCAGCATCTGAAATAGCTTCAGAATTTTACTTTAAAGTACTCAACCCAAGTCCGTTGATAATATACCATCCATGGCTGTAAATGATGGATGGCATTTTATGCACATTCACAATTAATATCATAAGCAATGCTATAATAATGTAATTGCTTACGATGTTAATTGTGGATGTGCATAAAACGCCATCCATCATTTACTGTCATGGATGGCATATCATCAACGGTAACAATTAGTAATTAATACTTTGTGAATAAATCCCTGTTTCTGAGTTAATGCCGTCTGTGTGCGCAAGCGCAGAAGGTGAGGTCGGCAAATTCGACTGGGTCGGCAGTTTCCAGTGCTGATTGCTGGACATAAGTGCACTAGGAGTGATCTCCTGTATCTGCGAAGCGGCATTGGAGCTAGATGCAGGAGGTATTCAGCCGGATCGGACCCCAAACGAACCCCTGTCACCTTATGGCAGATCTCCGCTACTGTACCGGTATATGTGTTTTTATATGGCTGATTTATAACTCATTGATGATTTGTAGGGTGAATTTCCATGTCAATATTTTGTCTTTGAATTATTTATACAACATAAATGTAAAAGCTGCACTGCTTATATTTAAAGGTATCAAATATAGACTGTTAGGCGAGTTTCCTTCTAGTGTTACTTCTCTTAACCTGCCCGCAAGGCTCCAGGAGATTCGGGTAGCTTAGCTGCAGCCATAATTCAGTTACTTACTTTAAGACCGATTGTGTCCTGGAAGGGGACGTGGAAACAAACTACATAACGTAATGTACTCCAGATTTTATGAATCAGACCCATTGCATCTGAGCCAAATCATCAGTTTTTTAGTTGTGAGCTGGCAATCCATCCGATCCTCCATTTCCAGCTAACCATTTATATCTTCACAATCACTCCAAACACTCTCTGCTAATAAACAAATGGTGTCCCCTTCTCTTCCCTCCAGGGAATAGAATCTCTTTCCACCAATACTGGAATGTTCCCGGACACAAGCTGATCCCTCCTTCCACATACCAATCAACAACTATGTCAATAGGCTCCTCTTACATCTTGCTCACTCTCATGGGAGCTTGTGTATCTTTAGAAATAGTATTTTATGTCCAGATTACATTTTTATTTTTGTGTCCTTCCTATACATGATTGGAGGGAAGCTTTAGATTTAGTACAAAGTTCTGTGGTTGTCTAACACAGCTAATTTCTGTGAATATTCAATGACATTTATCAAATTTTGGTGTATTAGTTCTGTCCACATATTGTATGTAATGTTATACTTTAAATTCACTGAAGAAAATCAAAATTCTTCTGGCACACGAAGCAGGTTATTTGTTGCACTTGGAGTGTTGTAGGGTTGAATCGCTATATCAGCAAACACTTGTGTTCTGATGTCCTGTAAATACTGAACAGACTTGTCACTTTCCACATTCCTATCTGTTGTGTACACTGAGGCTTGTCTGGTCTTGTGCTGTGACTTTTTGTCCAAGGATAAGGTCTGGTGTCAGATTTTGGGTGCAGCAAAAAAAAATTAACCCTAGCCAGCCTGATAAAAAAACCGCCCAAAACATAACAGTTTTGACAGTTAACAGTTCCTGTTAGGCCAGAGGAAAATACAAATAACTGAGGTGACTAGGCAACTATACTTTTTCTATTGCTAGTGGATGATGGGTTTGCTGTTGTAGGTGTCCAGAGGCTTTCCACAAAACAATTAAAAGGAGAACTATGAGGGGAGTGATTTTTCACTCAGCTTCATAATCTGAGCCGACCTGTGAAAATGAAACTGCCACACGTCGGCTCAATAGATCGGGAAGTGAGCGAACACATACCATCGCTCGCTCACTTCTCGAACCTGTCCCTGCAGAGAGCCGTGACTGTCATTCCCTGCAGGGAGTCCCTCCCCTGTCCGATCCTTCAGCGCTGACTGGCGGAACGGACGAGGGAGGGGGCGGGTACACCTCGGTCTACACCTCATTTTCATATTTTCCATGTTGGGTTTAGTTGTCAGACTGCAAGGGCTTTTGCATGTTATACATTTGATTGCCAGAATATGAAATTGTAATATTCAGAATGCATTTTGCATAGATTTTCACATTTGTGATAAATAAAAATAAGCGTACTCGTTCTTTTAAACGCCCGCAGCATTTTTACACTTCCGGAAAAACAAAATCTTGTTTTCTAATGTCTGTGCTTGTTTTGCAGCCAAGTGGATTATCGGGCAAAACTCTGGGCTTGCAATTTCTGCTATCAGCGGAATCAGGTGAGAGAAATTAAGAAAAATACATGACAGGTCCATTGTATAGAAGTAGGAAAAATGTGCTGCCCATCATTCAGGTTAGAAAAATCACAGGAAATGTATGATTTCTTTTGTTGCCGTAAATATCTTCAGTTTTTCATCTATTTAAAAACTTAGGTGTCTATTTATAAACTGTTTGGAAGGGCATATCGTAAAACATTTTTTTGTGTGTGTGAATAATGGCAAAAACAAAGGTTCTTAATTTTTTTTTATTTTCAAGTTGAATGTATTGTGATGTAATACTGCATTATGGCCACCAGATGGAGCGGCGGAGCATAGGAAATACATATTTTTAACGCTCTTCTGCTCCATCTAGTGCCCAAAGTGAAGTATCACGTCACAATATATTAAGAACCTTCATTTTTGTCATTATTCATAGAAAACAAATGTTCACATATTCACAAGGTAAATGGCCCTGCAAATTGTTTATAGCTAGACCCCATAATATACTGTAATTCTTTATATATGTCTGTGTAAGGGGCCTAATAATATGATTTTCTTGTCGGTAAGATGAAAGGGCATACAGTAGCTGAGTAAATATTAAAACTGAAAAAAAAAATACAGCCAGCTAATACCGTGGTTTGATCATACAAACAAACAACTTAGTTGTTTTGTCTGTTTATTATGAAATGGAGGATAAAGGAATTATTAGTAGATTTGCAGGTGGTTTTCAAAAACCACTGTAGTGTTTTTCTACTAAGATGTCAGAAATTTTGTATTAAAGAATAATTCCACTTTCCCCGGTGAATTTGGGAAAATGGAATTATCCCTAACAGTCTGCCTCCCCCTCCCAGCTCCTTCCCCTCCTCCACTGCCGGTGTAATATCTGTACTCTGTGCATGGAAATGCAGCCCTGCGGCTTGCAAATGGCGTGCCCTCATTGGTCAGCGCAGTCCAAAGCACTTCTCATTGGTCAGCATGGTCGGCACGCCTTTGCAAGCAAAATTTGAAATGCATACCGCAGGGCTGCGATCCCATGCACGGACTACAGAATTTACACTGGCAGCGGAGGAGGGGAAGGATCGGTGGTTGACAGGGGAAAGAGGGGGGGCATTCTATTTTTTAATTCACCTGGGAAAGTGGAATTACCCTTTAATTCCCCTCCCATGGTCTTGTGTACTATTTCTGTCTTTCCCTGAGATCCAGCTGTTTTTTTTTTGTTTTTTTTTACTGGGTTACTGCAAGGAGGTGTGATAGAATGTGTCTAAATGCTGTACCTTATACAGTATTCTGCAAAGGAATTTTATAGTTTCAGTTGTGTGGTGTGGCTTTATTACCGGCCTTTTGAATTCTAATAGTCAAAATCTTCTATCACTGAATAAAACATTGCAAATCATCAGTTTATGTTGCTGTCATGTAAATGTTTAAATGTAATACTGTAATTTGTTGTTTTTCAGTTTCCTCCAACATATGCCGGCATCTCTGAAACGAACCAGCCCGCAGAACTCCTGCCACAGTTCTCCAGCATCGAATACGTGGTCCAGGTGCATTAGACTTATCCTAACACATAACTATACATTCCCTTCTTGGGCTGTGCACACTATATTAATTGTATACCCACCTGTATATTTCCTTGGTTGCTCCTTACCACCCATTTAGTTATTTTCCTTGTCTTACAGCTATCCCATTTTTCCACAGAGAAGTGTTGCTTCTGGATCTTTGGTGCTATGTATTGTTAACAATAAATGTGCATTACAAATGTCAACACACCTACAAAACATTGCAAAAGAAGCATTACGTTGGCTGGTAGTGTTCCAAGTTGTGGGAAGCGAAATAGGCGTAAGAGTAGGCGCTAACTATATCAAATAAACATGAGATGTGGATAATGAATGGTCTCATGCCTCTTAGGAGAAGAAAATAAGGAAGGGGGGAGAGAAAGGAGCAGGGAAGGAAGGAGAGCCAGAAAAGGAAAGGGTGAGAGATCAAGAGAATGCAGAGAGCTGCGAGGGGGAAAGATAGTAGAAAAATGGGTAAGAGATAAGAGAGAGTGGCTACCCCAGGGCATACAGCAAATATGCAACAGAGGTATTATGCTAATTGAAATGTGTCTGGGTTAAGATCATGGAGATCAAAAGCATACCAGGGAGACCAAATGTTCTGGAATTTTGCGTAACTTACAGTTACATTTTATTAAAAAGACACCATGGCCTGAGTAATAAAGGCTAAACCCTGGCAGCAAACTGGTGAGAAGGCCCCTTTCTCTGTGTGGAAGCAGTGTTCTCTCTACAGGGGTCTGAGCTGTACAGAGTCAGAGCTTGAGCACTCCATTCCACAGGGAACATGAGCTTTGCTGATTGTAGAGCTATAGGCTTGAACAATAAGGTGTGTCAGACTTCTGCAGAGAGACCTTCTTACACACAGAGCAAGGGTCCTCAATCTCTGGCCCGACTTCTCTATTTGAATACAGGTTTTGCCTATAGGTTCAATTAATATTTTTCTTTTGTGTTAGCAATGTTGATATGACATTCAGATGAAGGAGTTCCATTGTCTGCTATAACATTCACATGAAGGGAGTTCCATTGTCTGCTATAACTTTTACATGAAGGAGTTCCATTGTCTGCTATAACATGCAGATGAAGGAGTTCCAGTGTCTGCTATAACATTCACATGAAGGAGTTCCATTGTCTGCTATAACATTCAGATGAAGGAGTTCCAGTGTCTGCTATAACATTCAGATGAAGGAGTTCCATTGTCTGCTGTAACATTCGCTTGAAGGAGTTCCATTGTCTGCTGTAGCATACGCATGCAGGAGTTCCATTGTCTGCTTTAGCATTCGCATGAAGGAGTTCCATTGTCTGCTGTAGCATTCGCATGAAGGAGTTCCATTGTCTGCTGTAGCATTCGCATGAAGGAGTTCCATTGTCTGCTGTAGCATGAAGGAGTTCTATTGTCTGCTTTCACATGAAGGAGTTCCATTGTCTGCTTTCACATGAAGGAGTTCCATTGTCTGCTGTAACATTTGCATGAAGGAGTTCCATTGTCTGCTGTAACATTTGCATGAAGGAGTTCCATTGTCTGCTGTAACATTTGCATGAAGGAGTTCCATTGTCTGCTGTAACATTTGCATGAAGGAGTTCCATTGTCTGCTGTAACATTCACATGAAGGAGTTCCATTGTCTGCTATAACATTCACATGAAGGAGTTCCATTGTCTGCTGTAGCATACGCATGCAGGAGTTCCATTGTCTGCTGTAGCATTCGCATGCAGGAGTTCCATTGTCTGCTGTAGCATTCGCATGAAGGAGTTCCAGTGTCTGCTGTAGCATACGCATGAAGGAGTTCCATTGTCTGCTGTAACATTTGCATGAAGGAGTTCCATTGTCTGCTGTAACATTTGCATGAAGGAGTTCCATTGTCTGCTGTAACATTTGCATGAAGGAGTTCCATTGTCTGCTGTAACATTTGCATGAAGGAGTTCCATTGTCTGCTGTAACATTCACATGAAGGAGTTCCATTGTCTGCTATAACATTCACATGAAGGAGTTCCATTGTCTGCTGTAGCATACGCATGCAGGAGTTCCATTGTCTGCTGTAGCATTCGCATGCAGGAGTTCCATTGTCTGCTGTAGCATTCGCATGAAGGAGTTCCATTGTCTTCTTTCACATGAAGGAGTTCCATTGTCTGCTGTAACATTCACATGAAGGAGTTCCATTGTCTGCTGTAGCATTCGCATGAAGGAGTTCCATTGTCTGCTTTCACATGAAGGAGTTCCATTGTCTGCTGTAACATTTGCATGAAGGAGTTCCATTGTCTGCTGTAACATTTGCATGAAGGAGTTCCATTGTCTGCTGTAACATTTGCATGAAGGAGTTCCATTGTCTGCTGTAACATTCGCATGAAGGGGTTCCATTGTCCTTGTCTGTTATAGCATTTTAATGAAGGAGTTCCATTGTCCTTGTCTGTTATGGCATTTTAATGAAGGAGTTCCATTGTCCTTGTCTGTTATGGCATTTTAATGAAGTGGTTCCATTGTCTACCGCATATAAGAGAGTATGGTGCAAATTCAAATGTATGTTTGGGTGTGATCAAACTTAGAAAAAGGATGTGTATTTGCTTAAAATGTGAATATACAGTATTTCTCATTGTTTGTATTCATTCTTATTCCTGTCTTTGATTGTTTCGTTTGAACTGCAGCGGGGTCCTCAGATGCCATTGATCTTCCTTTATGTTGTGGATACATGCATGGAGGATGAAGATCTTCAAGCTCTGAAGGAATCGATGCAAATGTCTCTCAGCCTGCTGCCTCCAACTGCTTTGGTGGGACTCATCACCTTTGGCCGCATGGTCCATGTACATGAATTGGGCTGTGAAGGCATCTCCAAAAGCTATGTTTTCCGAGGAACCAAAGATCTGACTGCAAAGCAGCTTCAGGTGAAAGATCACTATCCGTTACAGTTACCTTTTTAAAGCTTTGCTTCTTATGTCTGTTAATTTGACTTTATAGCTCAGGGCTGGACCAATCCCAGGAGCCAGGTAGCCATTACTCCTTTCAAATTACAACTGGTGCCTACATTTTGAGGTTTTCTCTAGTTGTTGTCAATGGAAAAAAAAAATCCTTCTGGCTCCTTGGATGGGACAGAGTGGTTCTTGAATTCCATATTAATTTGTCTACCCCTGCCATAGCTATATTATTATTATTATACAGGATTTATATAGCGCCAATTGTTTGCGCAGCGCTTTACAATATAAGGAAGACATTACAGTCACAATACAATTTAAGACAAGATGGTAAGGAGAGCCCTGCCCGTGAGGGTTTTACAATCTAAAAGACACGCGATACAATGGGGGTAGGGAAATTTTAAGAACGTTTCTTAAAATAACTCTTTAAAAGAAAGATAATTATATCAGAAATAAAGTCTACTTTGTTGTCTGTTGGTGCAGAAAATAGTAAACATGTTTCATTTATTAAACGTTTGTAGCATTTTGTCTCTCAAATCCTGGATCGTGAACACATATGGAGAAAAACTATACATCACACATTGGCCATAATTGTGTGCATATTATTGTGTATCTCACTGTTATTGACTAGACGCTGCAGCAACAGTGAGGAGAATGAAAGGGAGCACTGTTGGTTTTCACTGAAAAAGAACAGTTACCATGTGACAGTACTCGTACTCGTCCAAATGCTCCGATACCCGGACTTCCGGTATCAGGAAGTTGGGCAGCGAGTCATTACACGCTGCCCGGCTTCCTGAATGGCCGGGAAGCCGGCTCCATGCTCCCTCGTCACTTGGTGATAAGGGAGCATAGAGCCGGCTTCCCGGCCATTCAGGAAGCCGGGCAGCGTGTAATGACTTGCTGCCGGTTTTCCTAATTGGTCGGGAAGATGACCAATGAGGAAGCCAGACGGCGAGTCATTACCCTCCTCCCGGGTTCCTGATTGGCCAGAAAGCCGGCTTCATGATCCCTCGTCACCTGGTGAAGAGGGCGCATGGAGCCGGCTTCCTGGTCAACCAGGAAGCCGGTTGCTGTGCGTGGCTTCTTGATTGGTCGAAAAGCTGGTCAATCAGGAAGCCATAAGGTGAGCCAATATCCAACCTCCGGCTTCCTGATTGGCCAGGAAGCCAGCTCCATGCTTCCTCGTCATCTGGTGACGGAGCATGGAGACAGCTTCCCTGCTAATCAGGAAGCCAGGTGGCGAGTCATTACACGCCGCTCGGCTTCCTTAATGGGACTTCGGGCATCTGTATTCGGTATCGGCGAGTACCGGGAAAAAAAAATATCGGTGCTCGATACCGAAAAAACACTATCGGTGCATCCTTAGTCACAACAATATACTGATCAGCTAAACCGTTTTATAATGGACCAGTGCTCTTAATACTAATTAAAAGCATAATAACAACATAGCTGCATTTGATTTAACAATGGAAATTGCAGTTGTCAAATTTGTATGTAGGCCACAGAAAATGGGGCTCTGAGATCCCTTCTGCAGCTGCTAATGGTAGCTTTTGCCCAGTTCATAGGGTATTGGTAATATGGAGCTTTGGTGATTGTTGACTATTGTTAAGCATATGACTGGCTGATAAAGGGTCGCCCCAAGCATCTTTTTCTGCATGGGTATAGTAAGGATATGCGGGACTAGAATGGAGGGTGGCTACTCACTGTCACATAAGAGGAAGCGTTATAATGTTTCTAATTGGGAATTGTATACTAAAGGTAATTTTGGCTAATTGCTTTGTTACATCAGTTTGTGCTAATGATTCCATGTGAGCCCGCCAGATTTTAGGTGTATAAAAGTTTTCGCCTTAGTTTGGAGCACACTTCTAGAGTGTTTGCCTACAGGGACAAGCAATACAATCTATAGGCAGCTACTACTCAAATGTGTTAGATGTACAGGCCACTACCCTGCCTGGCAACCACTGATATCATTCACTCATTTATACCTGTCACTTATGCTTGGCGGGGTTACAACCACCTGTCAAAAACCTAATACATTAAACTCACCATTATCCGCCATATACGGGGATTGGTAGATTCCAGATAAATTTAGTTTCTGGTTGCTTGAGAATAGATCCAACTAATGCCAGACCCCATACTATACTGTACCATATGATAAACTCTTTATTGACTTCATATTTACATTGAAATGCAGTAATCAGAAGTGAATTAAGACAAATAGGCACACAGTCATTTCCAGGATAATACATACCACAGATCAGCAAAACAGTGAGTACACAGGATTTTTTTTTTCTGGTTAGCTGAGAGTTCTAGTTAGTTGAATACTGGATAACAGAGTTTACTGTACTGCCTCAGTGAGGCCTAAGAGTTTAGTTTGCTTTAATTGAGTACGTGTTCAGCTTCATATCTATCAGGCATCGGTTTCAGTATAATCAAATGTAATTTTGTGTTACAGGAAATGTTATCTCTTACAAAAAATTCTGCTGCCCAGCAAGGACGTGGGCCACAAGTTCAGCAACCTCCTCCGTCAAACAGGTATGAGCAGAGACTAGGAATTTAGCTGAGATTAAGAAGCAGTTATTCAATCAGTATTTTAACTCCAACATTCTCAGACATGATAGTTTTTTTTGTTTTCAATAAAGTTTTATTCAAATTTTTCGCATTTGTTCATAATACACAAGCAAAGTAATGAACACAAGGTTACAGAGGCTGATCAAGAGCATGGATAAAAGACAAACAGATGATCGACATTTGTAGGATACATTTCAAAATTACGCCTCATGGTGTCGGTATATCAGGACAATACATACATCAAACGTATAGTCAAGAAAGTAAATAGAATCAAGATGGAAGGGGAGACGCCTCAGATTCCCATTAAGGTTGAGTCGGCGCATGAGTCGAGAAGAGTCGTGTCACAATGAGAGAGAGAGACCGAGACCAGCCTGTGGTCACCGCAGTCCTACGGGGGATCGGATGATCACCACCGTTCGGCTCCCTCCTCGAATAGACCCATGCCCCGACTCCCACAAAGGAAATCCCAGGCGCACCAGCCTCCGAAAATAAACAGGTCAATGGGGGCAGCTCAGTACTAAATAGGAATTATTACCCACATATGTGTGGGATTACTTGCCTTCAAAGCAAAGAAAGAAGAACAAGGAGGTGGGGCGGAGGGAGGCGGTAGGAGAGCAGCATAAGGAAGTACAGGGGTGGGGGGAGTCGGGGTGGAGACCAGATGACCCCATGTCGGGTCAGACATGATAGTTGACATACATTGACATATTTGTGTTTGAAACTGTTTTCATGCAGAAGCCTATTGTTGCAACTACGTTGGTTAGGAGAGGGCTGTGAATCCAGTTGAAGCCCATCTCCAACCAAACAAAGAAAACCAAAAACCTTGCAGTTGGCATACCCCGCAATGCTAGAGTTAAGTACTTGTTTATGTCTATGTAAAGCAGATCTACTTACCTGATCTCCACTTCCACTGGCTCCTTCCAGGCTTCTAGAACGGTCCCCCCAGACTTTTCTTGGCTCTGGTGGTCTAAGGACTGATAACTTAATCGTGTCTAACACAGGTTCCATAGACTTGCATTTAGACATGGGGACAGCAAGGAACAGTTCAGAGTCACAGTGGAGGGGGAGGATAGGAGAACCTCCGGTGGAAGCGGGGACCAGGTAAATAAATATGCATTACTCCAGCCCTTAGACATAAACAGGCACTTTAACCCTTGCAGTACGGGGGTAAATTTCTGGTTTGCCGAAGATATCCTTTGAACTCCTGTTGCTAACATTTAAAGTAATCCCCTATGGTTAGAGTTTATATTTGTCTTTTCTTTTGTCCTGTTAGCTGAATGGTAAGGAAAGTTTTTTTTCTTCCCTCTTCTCACCATTAAGTTTGTTTTCTAATGGATTTAGGATGATGAGAAAGACAGATCTGTCTTAGGTCTGCTATGAAGCAGTGAATAGTTCTCTCATTTTATTGTTTGTTTCATTTCTTAAATAGGACTCCATGTGGACTTTCTGCCATTTCAGTTGAGAGGTTGTTTTTCAAATATTTCTCTATATTAGATTTGTTCTTGAATTTCCCATCAACAGTTACCCTTTAGTCTATTCATTACTGCTTCATTAATGGAAACCTCCATCCTTAGACATGGTACTTTTGAAGCATTCTAGAATTGTAGCTGACCCCTGTAGTTTTCAGGCTTTCATTATAAGTGCTAAGATCCCGTGTATGCGAACTAACAATGTGTTCTTATTCATGTTAAGATTTTTACAGCCAGTTCAAAAAATTGACATGAACCTTACTGACCTTTTGGGAGAGCTTCAGCGAGATCCATGGCCTGTCACACAAAGCAAGAGACCTCTGCGATCCTCAGGAGCTGCACTTTCCATTGCGGTTGGACTTCTTGAGGTAACAATACAGTGCTGCAGTCATCCATTCATGAAATTGTAACTCCTTTCATAACCTGGATGTGCACATAGTGCGTTGCGCTTTATTTCGTTGTAGTGGGTGGCATGTAAATTGTTACTGCTTATCGATTTTTTTGATTTTTTTTTGTGTGCGATTCAAGTGGTCCTATTGCTTTCACTGCCAGTGATTTACAGAAGCTAGGACGCTGTTTAAAGGGCAATTCCACTTTCTCACAACATGTGAGAAAATGAACATACCCATATAAATCTGCCATCTCTCCCCACCCCTGGTGGTCATGCCATCCCGCGCCAGCCAGTGTACGGTCTGTACAGTACACTGCAGCCCTGCACTGAGCATCTAGCATAACGCTTGAAAATGGTGAGCACTCATTGGTCAGCCTGATCACCTGACCAGGCTGACCAATGAGAAGTGCTTCTTAGCAAAAAACGCTTGAAATTAGCCATTGTGTAGGTCTTATTCACTTGTATTAGATGTGAGGACACTGAGGGACACGCCACAGCTGGAGCGGAGGAGCAGAAAGGTGAGCACTAACTAAAGCAGGACCGAGGATCAGGTGAGTTTATCTTCTGTATTCTGGCCCTTAGACCAAAACAAGTAATTAACCCTTGCAGTGTGGGGGTAACCCCCTGCGAGGGTTAATTTGGTTTATATCTGGAGATCTTCTTTCACAAAATGTATGTTAGTGTGTACAAAAAGAAAATTAACTAATGGGAGGAGGAAAGACTGCCTGCTTTTTGGGGGAAGTTTATTTGGTGTTACATGAAGGAAACATACTTCATGTTTTTTTAGATGAGTGTCAGATATGAGCTAGCCTAGGGAATATTCACAACTAAGGATTCTAGTATACTTTATTTGGTATAATTTTATATGCAGGTGGCACTGTCTGCAGACAATTTTATGAGTAATGAGAAGGACATTTTGAACTGATCAAGCCATTGATATTACGGTACAGTTGTCAAAGGAGGGTTATCAATTATTGATTTGTATTAATAAATTAAATAGAAGAAACCAGGAGTGAAATATGGGAGCTTGCACGCCTGTATTTAAAATGTGCATGTATAGTGGCTTAATCTTCTTGATCTTGCTTTGCGATTTTGTGAGCCACTGACCTGAAACAAAAGTTAAGGTGTGTCATGGCAGACATTTTCCCAAGTTTTATCCCTGCAAATAAAACATAACACCTGTTGATCTGCAGAAATGCACTCGTTACAAATTTCCTTTTGTGGGCTGACAACCTGTTGTGGGCTGACTGCATTGTTTGGCATGAATTTGCAGGAAATGGTGTAAGCCCTGCCCAGTTGTCTTTACTGAATCTCTCACCCTGTTCTCATCTCCACAACATAGAGAATAAATGTTCTGTAGTCTAAGACTGGGAGAGATAATTAGACTTTGTCTTGTGTGATATCTCAAACTTAAATTTCGGACCTGAGCAACAGGTTTTTTTTGCCATTTCTTAAACAGATATAACAAAATGCTTTTGATATCTTTTTAACAAACCAAAAAAGAGAAAATAAGAAAAGTTTGTTGTTGGGATTTACATACACCTAACATACGCATGTTATAGTTTATTGGTTCAATGAGTAGTGAAGCAAGAGTCAGGATAGCAGCCCCAGGGCACACTTTCTAAAAATAAAACAGGAGTGGCAGCTCCATTTTCGGACATATTCTCTTTACAAGCAATAAGGTGTTTTAACCGATCCGTATTTCTTTCATCGAATAAAAGCATGTGACTTGTCTTTTAGGATATTGTATGATCGGTCATGATGTGTGTTTATTTTTGAACAGTGCACCTTTCCTAATACTGGGGCTAGGATTATGATGTTCATTGGAGGACCAGCCACACAAGGCCCTGGGATGGTTGTGGGGGATGAGCTGAAGACTCCCATCCGTTCCTGGCATGATATTGAAAAGGACAATGCAAAGTATGTCAAGAAGGCAACAAAGGTGAGTATCATTTGAGCTTTTGTCATTTCTTGGGACTTTGTGTCGGATCAGGACTGGGGAGGAATGTACAGCACAGACATTCATAGAAAAACATATTACTGAATACACAAAATGATGTTATTGGTATATTACCACATGGACAGCTAAAAAAGAAAAAAGGCAGCCACAAATCAATTCTATAGCTAGCCTTTGTAGCGAGGTGCACATGGAAGGGCTTGCAGCAATACAAAACACACAAATTTCCCAGCACACTTACCAGCTAGCTTGCAACAAAGCAAATTATGTGTGACAGGATGAAGAAAAAACAGGTTTTAGTTAATCGCCTTTTGCATAAAATGTGGAAGCCACACTGCCTCGTCAAGGCTCCTCTGTGCGTTGTGGTCCTATCGCTAATCTTTGAGAGTATCGAGTATATAAAGCAGTAGATTGAATGCAGGTATGCCTGGAGGTAGCCCACTGCTCCTTAAGGACCCAGTCACATCATAAAGAGTGCGTTCCAGTGCGTTCGGCCTCTGGAACAAAACCCAGCTGGCTCACTTTGTTTTGGGGCGGGAGGGGGGAGTGACGGTGCATTGAAGTCAATATCACCGCAGCCACACCCGCCCACCCATAAACAAAGTGAGCCAGCTAGGTTGCATTCCAGAGGCCGAACGCACTCTTTATGGCGTGACTGGGCCTTAAAGACAATACAAAACACAGATGTTTCCCAGCACCCTTACCGGGAAGTGTACAACAAACCAAATTACACTGTGTAACAGTATGCATCAAAAACAGGTTTTAGTTTCACAACTTTTGCAACATAGGTGGAATCCACACTGCCTCATCATGGCCCCTCTGTGTGGTGTGGTCCTTACTGTAACACATGAGAGCCTCCATCTTGGAGCATATAAAGAAGTAGATTAATTGAATGCAGCACCTTGCCTTTCTACAAGACTCCTCCACATTTGGGATACATTAGGGACTAAATTATCAGGGGGCTGGGTCTGAGTTATAATAACTGGAGCAGAAGTTGAGCTATTGCCTGTTACAGCCAATCGGATTGTTTCATTTTCCTACTGCAGTGCGGTTGCTATGAGCTATTGCTCCATTTTACTTTAGTTTCCTTGGCTCAGGTTTTCATATTTGTACCCCTTGGGATTTGGTTTCTGTAGGCATGATCTCGCTTTTGCCTCTGTACTAATAAATCAACTTCCTGTTACTGGAATTATATCTGTTCGGGGTTCCAGAACTATGAAAACTAATTCTTCCATTGCAACAGGACGCCAACATCTGCAGCAGTATTCAAAATGGCTGGACTGTATTATTTTTGTCACACTTTTTGCTGCAGAAATGTTCCTTCTTTTACACTTGTGTTTAATATATTGATTTGGGAAGTTTTAGGGCCGGTTCACACTACAAAGTCCGCGTTCCAGTGCGTTCGGCCTCTGCAACGCAAGCCGGCCGGCTCCCTGCATTCTGGGGCAGCCACGGCCCCCACCCGCATTTAGTGCTTGCGTTCTGGTCCCGTGCGAGCTGCAAAAATACTGCAAGCACTGTGTTCCGGATGCAGGTGATCGCAGTGCGGGCGAGGGGCGTGGCTGCGGTGCCATTGACTTCAATGCACTGCCACACCCCCTCCTGCCCCTGAACGCAGGGAACCAGCTGGTGTGCGTTCCAGAGGCCGAACACACTGGAACGTGGACTTTGTGGTGTGAACCGGCCCATTATGTTGTGTTCACAAGAAAAATGCTAATAGTAGATGAATTGGGGAATTTCAGCCCAATATAGTAAAATTTAAAACAAACCATGCTGCCATAAAGCAACCTTTTGCTTTTCCTATGAACAACATAGTGGTAACAGAAAGTTCAAGGCCTTCCTGTAGAGTGTGGCAGGGCTGTCTGGCTCACAGAGCTGGCCAGACAGAATTGCAAATCCTATTGCATATTGGGTAATATATTTGCCATTTGTGCATTTTGTCTTTTTTCTACCTCGAGATTAGCTTAAAAGTGGAATTCTTTGTATGGATGTTAAGAATAACTATAGAAAATAAATTGTTGAACGTATTATTAGACACAGTATCAATTGCCAAAAGGTGGCAGCGTATCCCAGCGTAATTCAGTATTCTGATGAAACAAGTTCATAGCAATTGAGATATGCAAAATATGAACGCACAATGAAATATAAGTATAAATCGCAGCACAAGGACACGGGTATAATCCACTGTTCATCTCATTACTGATTCTATTTAATAATTATAATAATATCATTATTCCAATAAAATGGAATGCGATAGATTACCATTATTAATATTAAAAGGGAAAAAGCCTCACCAGACAGCTTATATAGTGCTACCTGTTCTGAGAAGAAGGAAAGAAAACATTCTTGGCTTCTCTCCATGACATGGGTGTACTGTGTACTGCGTAGAGTAACCAGGGAAAAATGAGGCTGGAAGGAGAAAATCTCTAGATTAAACTCCCAAAAAATAAATTTGTGTATGTATGTATATATATATCTATATATATATATATATATATATATCTATATATCTATATATATAGATATATAGATAGATAGACAGACATGAAGAGAGATGCTGATTGGTTGCCATGGGCAACTGCTCCAGATTTTGTCTGCTCGTTTTGATAAATTCCCCCACAGTGTTTTCAGTGAACTACTGTTAATACTGACGTCACATCTTACAAATTCCTACCAGAACACATTTCTCCTTTCTCTGTAGAGTGTGTCAGGATTCCCCTGCCAAGTCTTTATAGCTGTCTGGGAATTCTGGGGGAAAACTATGTCCCACACAGCTTGATAGCCTGGGAACTGCTTTCCAACAAAGCTACTGTAATCACCAGCCAAGGAAACTTTTCAATGGTTTCCGAGCCACTGACCTGGTACTGCCATTTAGATCAGGAGTTCCAACTTCCTTTATTCATTCATGTTCCAGGTTAGTAAATCATATCTACTGGTGCCAGAGAAAGCCAGGAAACTAGCATTAATGGGAGTTCATGAATGGCTGTCCCCAAATTCCTTTACATGAATTCCTCATCCTCTGAGCAAAGTACACAACAGCTGCATCACCTGACCTCCCATACATTCACCATAGGGATATAAAGTTGGTGATCTCAATAGATTGTTGGGAAAAAATCAACCTGTCACTTCCATATTTGATCCCATACACTGACGGGTACTATACAGTGTACTTTGCAGAGGATTAAACCTTGCCCCACTATAGCCCCACAAAATCAATTTTGTGTGGAATTGTCCTTTTTTAATACCGGAAATGTTTCCTACAATGAATTCCTACAGAAGACTGTAGCAAGGCAGTCGTACCTTTTGGTTTGATGGCGCCCAGTATGCATTTCCCAATGTTGTGCTCTTGTTGAAGTGGCATCAGCAGGTAGGTGAGGCACATTTCTATGTGTTGTGCTGGATAAATCTGTGAAAAAAGAGCTGTGAGAACACAAAGCGAGCTTGGTGCGGTTGCTACTTTACAACACACACAGGGACCATGGGGAACAGAAATAGTCACCCTCCAGAAGGAAGGACAATGTACACACAAATTCTGAGTTTAGTGACACTTGGGCAGATGGATGTAGAACCTTCAAAATTAGCAGCAGCCAGGTAAGACATCCCCCGAAAATAAGACCTAGTGTCTTTTTTTGTGAAAAAAAATAAATAAGACACTGTCTTATTTTCGGGGAAACACGGTAATATGTTTACAAACAATGTGCAGTAAACTCACAAAAATTTTAATTGAATTGTTGTGTGTACTTTTCCTACACTGCTGTTCCCTGTGGTAAAGAACTAATATTTTGTCTTCTCTTTCCAGCATTATGAAGCTCTGGCAAACCGCGCAGCTGCCTCTGGCCATGTAATAGACATCTACGCCTGTGCATTAGATCAGACTGGGCTCCTGGAAATGAAATGCTGTCCAAATAATACAGGGTAAGAAAAAAATGGAAGACCAAATGATGGCAGGATAATAGCAGCAATGTTCTTTCTTTCCAGCCTGTGTGGTTTTAAGGAAGCCAAAGCTATGAATTTATAACGAGCATTAATTGTTTTTGCCTTTGGGCTAGAGCTCACTGTGGTCGGTGTACAGAAAACAAGGCGTAAGAGATGCAGTGCAATGTACTAGTGTATGTCCCTTCACTCAGTATAAGTCAACATGTCTTTATTTTTATTTTGACAGTGAAACTTAAAGCAGAAGATCAACCAATAATATAAAAAAATAATAGCCCATTAAATAACCCAATAAAAGACAAAAAGCAGATTTTTCTGCAATACTCCTCAAACTGAACGTTGATTGAGGTTCTAACCCTTCCTCATGCTGTCCAAAATCTTGGCTGCAGTTGTGCTTAAGGGCAGGTTCACACCATTTTCCGGTCCAAATGTGGTCCGTAAAATGATGTGAACTTGCCTGCAGTTCCAGTGCATTCCAGACCAGACAAAATGAGACATGCAGTATTTTTCTGGTCTGGAATGAAGAACCTTTTCTGCAAGTACATAAATGTAGTTCTTGCCACGTCTGTGAATTGAACTGAAGTCCCAAAGTTATCTCATTTTAACAACACACCCCCTCACCTACATGTGATAAAGATGAAGAGAGGATGATGTGTTCTGTTTTCCAAATCATATGGGAAGCCTAGGGTGACAACACTGCTACTCCATTGATACAGTACAGTGAGTGAACCCTAGAAAAGAAGGGGGGGGGTTGCTGTCACGATTACCAGATTAAAATCCTGACAAAACACTAACGCAGCCCACACATCTAAGAACTGGTGAGCTGCAATATTTTAAATTTTTGGGGGGACTAGATAAACTAAAAAGAGAACTAATGGGGATTATCTGTTTATCCCATTGTTCTCTTTAGGGTCACGGGAGGACATATACTAACGTCCTTCTATGACTCCAAAGCTCAGTATATAGCGAGCTATATACTGAGAGCGCCGCCGGGACGGATCCTGACAATACTGTCGAGATCCACCCAGCAGGGTGATTGTCACCTGGCTCTGCCTATCTAGAGGCAGAGCCAGCTGTGCCCTTCCCCCTCTCCTGTCCATTCTTCTAGTCAGCGCTGGAGGATCGGAGAGGGGGGGAATCCCTGCGGGGAGTGCTGACTGACAGTCACTGCTCTCTGCAGGGAGACGATCGGTAAGTGAGCTAGCGACGGTATGTGTTCGATCACTTCCTGATCTATAGAGTCGACGTGTGACAGTTTCAATGTCACACATCGGCTCTAACTATGAGGGTGAGTGGAAATCACTCACCTCATAGTTCTCCTTTTAACTTAGTCAGCGTTTGATGTCTGTATACATAAAAATAAAGCCTGATTGATATTCAGTGTTTACACTTGAGCATGATTCTCTATTGTTGTTTTCCAAGTCAGCAGTTATGAGGATTGACCGTTTTTGTTTTTGTAACAAGTCTATTTTTTTTTCTTTATGAACTGCGTCTCATCATTTTAAGCCCAAAACCAACCAAAATAATTGTGTAATGCCATTTTTAATATAGTTTTGGATAGCGTGGGAAAGGATTAGATCTCCAGTTGGATTTTTTATTTCTGTCAGTGGAGGAAGGGTACTCTTTATTTCCTGTTTCAGTGATTGCATATTAGAGGAGGTAAAATGTCCCCAAGAGGTCCACAGGCAGCTATATAAACCCGACTGTAACCCTTCACCTGCTGCTATAGAAATTAATTGTATTACTGTCAGTGGCATACATATTGTATTCACTTTCTGTCCTGATGGCACACTAGAAAAGAGAGGAAATCTCAGCAGGGATACAGATGGCAATAATAACCATATACAGTTTCTCCACTATCCAAAAATGTGAGAAAAGAAAGTAGTCAGGCTTAAAGGAAAACTATGGGGTTAGGGCTTTTCCCCATAGTTCTCCTAAGGGTAACGGGAGGACACAAACTAGCGTCCTCCCGTCACCCAAAGCTCAGTATACCGCGAGCTACAGCTCGTGGTATACTGAGACGCCGCAGCCGGAACGGATCACGACAATTGTGTCTGGATCCACCCAGCTGCATGAGGACAGCTGGCTCTGCCTATCTAGAGGCAGAGCCAGCTATACCCGCCCCCTCCCCCGTCCGTTCCGGCAGGCAGATCGGGCGGGGGGGGGGGGGGGGGATCCCTGCAGGGAGCCGTGAGTGGCAGTCACAGCTCTCTGCACGGATTGATCGAGAGATGAGCAAGCGCCGGTTTGTGTTCGCTCATTTCCCGATCTACTGAGCCGACCTGTGACAGTTTCATTGTCACAGGTCGGCTCAGATTATGAGGCTTCTGTTGGCCGCCCTGTCTTATCAGCGCTTTCTGTTCGAGGCTACTGTCTCCCCAGGTACTGCTGTGTATTGGGGAACTTGTTACATCAGTTCATTTGTAACTGTAGTGTGAGAAAAAATGGATGCCCCACTTGTGATTTGCATGAAAAGAGCAGCGTGCAGTGATTAGTTTTTTGTGATCTGAGGGTGTGCCTGGCGCTGTTATTTATGGAAGACTTTGTGAGCGGTATGGAGAAAGTGTTTTGTTGTGAAGAAGTGTGTATGAATGGATACAGAAGGTCAAGGAAGCTCGCACAAGTGTTAGCCATTAAGAAGGAGCCAGACCCCCGTCCACGTCTGATGACACTCTGCAAAAACCTTGTTTTGAGGTGTTAAAGCATCCTCCCTATAGTCCTCATCTTGCTCCATCGCACTTTCACTGTTTGATCCCCTTAAAGCAGCCCTACGAGGATGAAGATTCACCTCTGATGAAGCAGTGAAGACAGCGGTGCATTCGTGGCTCGCAGCTCAGCCTAAAACATTTTGTAATGATGGAATGCGAAAGCGTGTTGACAGATAAAGTGTATTGAAAAGCAAGGCGATTATGTCGAAAAATGATGTATTTGTCTTTTCTAAAAGTTGATTAAAATAATTTCAACAGCCAAAGTGCGGATAATATGTGAATTACATATTATGATTTGTCTCTGTACAGAGGTTACATGGTGATGGGGGACTCCTTCAACACATCACTTTTCAAACAGACATTTCAGAGAGTTTTTAACAAAGATACACAGGGCGACTTCAAGATGGTATTTGGTGGTACTTTAGAAATCAAGGTAAATTTCTGTGGATTTACATGGTGGAATCTGACATTAAAACCTTTTTGTTCTGAGTCGTGACGCGAGTACTGTCATATTTGTCAAGCAAATTGCTTCCAGTTATATTTGATATGGTTTTTCTTTAGTTTTTACATTTGTAAACTGTTGTTTTTATCAGTTTTTTAATTTTTTAACAAGCCTTTAATTTTTATTCTTTTTTATTTATTTCATGGGTTACGAAGACTTCAAGAGAGATAAAACTTTCAGGTGCTATTGGACCTTGTGTTTCCCTGAATGCCAAGGGGCCTTGTGTGTCTGAAAATGTAAGTTTTAATTTTCTTTAAATTAGTTTAATAATTTAATTTAATGTTATTTGTTAACCTGTTATGTGGATAAAAAAAATAGTACTTAACCAACGCCCTACTGCTGTATGGTTAAAAAAATGTTGGGGTGGTGGACTTCTATTTCTGGAAGAACGTCTACATACGTCATTCTATAAATGGCTGTTGGGCACCTGCCATTTCCTGTGTACTGAGCCATCAGTATACAGGACAGCCCTGTATACTGAGGGCTCAGTATACAGACACCATACAGAGCCAATCCAGCGGCTCAGTACCATGTAATTGCTGTGATGAATAATCACATGTTACTGTTCAGACTGACCATCTCTCCCCTTCCTTGTACTGCAGAGGCAGGAGAGGAATACCATTATGTTGTGAATGGAACAATCATTGAGTCAGCAGCAGAAGCAGCTGGTGATTCAGTCATTGATTCTCAGTGGCTCAGGTCTTTTTTAACCCCTTCACTGCCACTTCTCTTCTAAACTATTGATTTTCAACCTGCCTCTGTATTGTGACCTATATAATAACCCTTTATCTCCCTTATCCTGTATATCACCTTTAATCTCCATCTTGCCACTGTATGTGACCTGTACTTTACCCCCTTCACCTCCTGATCCCCCTGTGTATGACTTGATGTGCTTTATCTAGTTCTCCATTATCAAGCTCTGTGTTTTACCCCCCAATACCATCATGTTTCTTCATTTCAAAAAAATTGTCACCAAAATGATATCACCTTTGGGTGTCAACTTTCCCAGAAGATGCCATTTCAGGAGTGTTCGTACTGTCCTGGCATATCTTTTTTTATTTTTTCAGGAATAACTTTTTTTTTTTTTTTTTTTAATTGTTGTTTTTCCCCCCATTTTTATAGTAAAAACAAAATCCCAGCAGTTATTAAATATCGCCAAAAGAAAGCTCTTTCTGCCTCAATATAAATGTATTTGGGCGCAGTGTTGCATGATGGAATAATTGTTAAACTATCACAGCACTGAAAACTAAAAATGACCTTGTAATAAGGGGTATACACAGGCTGGTACTCAAGAGCAATTTCTTACTATTTGCACACACATGATAAAATATACATTTTTGGTTAGAAAACAGGTCCAGACCCTCAAACAATGATATATTTTCGGAAAGCAGAGGCCCTGTAAAAATAAAAATGCAATTTTTTATGTCGCACGGTATTTGCGCAAATGTTTATCAAACCAGTATTTTTAGGATAAAATAAACTAAATTAAAATTTTGTGCACAGAAACAGAACATAATAACCAATATTTTGGTAAAATATAAAAGACGGGGTCACGCTGGGTAATTGGATACCAAAAATCTCAAGCCCGTGAAGCCACAAAAAAACTTTACTATCCAAAAGCTTTTACTGCTCATCAATTTAGTGCTAACAGTGATTGATGGGCCAAAAATTATTGCTCTCTGATGTTCGCAGCGATATGTAACATGTGTAGCACAATTGTCGTTTTAGCATGAAGGCGTACTGACGCCTGTTTGCATGTGTATGTGTGTGGCGGGGGACTTTAAAACATTTTTTTGCATTTTTAAATTTTTCTTCAATTTTTTATAGGGATGCACCGATATATCGGCCGCCTAAACATATCGTCCGAAAATGGCACTTTTGGCTAAATGCCGAAAGTGGGATTTTCCTGCCGATACATCGGCCCATCCCAGGTTTCTTTCCTCCCAGTTCGGCGCTGCTCTGTGTCCCAGTGGGGAGGAGAGAAAGTGACAGCGGCCGAGCGCTGTGGAAGGAGAGCACTGTGAGCGACCGGTGTTTGAAAACATTTAAATAAAAACATTTTCGGTTTCGACCTGACAATTTTTCGGTTTCGTTTCGATTGATACATTTCTATTTCGGTGCACCTCTAATTTTTTTAACATTTTTCAACTTTTTTTTTTACACTAACCTTATTGCTATCACAAAAGGGGCTATAAGCACCCCTATGTAATAGCAGATAGGGTGTGACAGGCCCTCTTTATAGAGACATCAAGGGTCTTTCAGACCCCTAATGTCACCTAGGAACACCAAAGAAGCTGAGTAAGCAGATATCTTCTTCACCAGCTTCTTCTCCTGGCTCTCAGAGCCGGAGACTGTAACGAGTGACACTGGAATTAATGTAATACATATCACTTCCGAGCTCACCAGCCAGTAGAGTTGTGTCAGCCTCGTCTCCTGACCATACGGCTACAATGATGATAAGAGTTGGCAGACAACGTCTCATCTTGGGGTAGTCTCTTACAGTTGCCATAGTCCTGATTGCAGATCCACAAAGATGATCTTCTGAAATGCTGCCTCTGCAGCAAGGCCTGACACGGCACCCCTGTCCTGGACACCCACCCATTGATTGTCCTCTTCATCCACTGCCCCAGAAGCATGGCTTGCATACAGGAGCCCTTTCTGACTCCAGACTTTACCTCTTATAAAGCAAGCCCTCTTCTCTATACTTGTCTTCCTGCTCTTCCAGGCACCCTTCCCTTTACAGACCTGTTTTTCATGGTCATTAGCAAAGCTTGAGGCTGGGTTCACACCTGGGCGTTCCAAATAGGCTCGTTTTATGCTAGTGTTTTAAGCACGTGTTGTTGTTCACTGAAACGCGCATTCGACGCTCGTTTTTTAACCAACTGGCGGTATGATTTTTTTTTTTCCTTTTTTTTTTTTTTTAAACTTCCTGCCGGTTCCGCCCACTTGCGACGCGGACGCTCGCAAGGGACGGAACCCGGAAGACGGCAGTGGCCGGAGGATACATCGGGGATCGCGGACAAGGTAAGACCTACGCTGTATTCCCAAGTGTGGCTCGGTGGTTACCGCTTTGTTAACCCAGAGCCACACTCGGAAATACCAATGGATAAGCGCTGAAATACGCCCCAAAGCTCTTTCCGCGCGTAGGGAATTTTTCAGCGCGACAAATCACGCTGAAATACGCCCATGTGGGAACCATGCCCATAGGGATTCATAGGATTTCACTGCTTGAGCGTTTTTCAGCGCTTCGATCAGCGCTGAAAAGGCCCAGGTGTGAACCCAGCCTGAGCTCTTACCTTCAAACCAGCATTTGAAAACAGTCTGCCATTCTACATGATCCCAGTTGTAGTAGTGTTATATATGTTTTCGATTCTGTTTTTAGTGCTTTGCGGGAATGTTTTCTAAATAAAACCTAAAACAAAACGCTGTAAAAATAGAACTAGTTTTATGAATAAATATTGTTCAACAAAGACTATTTCAGCACCGAGGAGGGAATGTTGCTTTTGTCCATGCCAAAGTATTTTATAATGCACTGTAATTCACTTGTTTGCTGGCCCTGAAACCAGTTTTACAGCCACAAACTTCAAGTCCTTGCAGCAATTAGACAGTTAATTATAAATGCTATTAAATGATATGAGGGAAGTGAACCGGTAATGTGTCCTCTCTCATCATTTGGGCATGGTATTTTCAGTGTATATTATATGGAAATGTTACTGTTTGGAAAGCAAAAAGCCTTAGAAGCATTTTACTGGGATACAGAAAAATTGTGCTTCTAACTGACCAATGGCGCCTTATCTATTCTGATTTCTATCTGGCTAATGAGCGTTTTATTGCTCTAATGTCTTCCACAGGAGATTGGTACGGGTGGGACGTGTCAGTGGAAAATTTGTGGCCTCAGTCCGACCACAACCCTGGCTGTGTATTTTGAAGTGGTAAATCAGGTAAGTAACAGTTATATTTGTAAAAAAATAAATAAAAATGTCTATTTTATTTCACTGCATGTCATTTTAGTGTGACGTTTTATTTATTGTTCAGCAATAAAACCTGTGTTTACGTCCTGGGTTTTTCATTATTGCATTTGGAAGCCTGATTTTTAATACTGGACCTACAGTACATAGGAAAAAGTCAAATATACATGGATACATGAGTTTTTGCTTTTGCGCTGTGAGGGGAAAGCCTTGTTAAGTCTTAAACCCAAGAAGTAGGATGAGCAATTTAAACATTGCTTTGTGAAGACTGTGCTTGCTTTACACTTTTAGTTAAGTACTAGAAAAATGTCTGTTCTAATAATCCTTCTTAGTACATACTAATACTCAGTAATACTTGAACGTTCGGGCTCATGCACATGAATACCAAAAAATCCTGCATTCAGATTCCAAAATCATACAGTCTTTAATGGTTCTGAACGCAGCAGTATTGTCTGCTGTGGGTCCATGCACACAGTTGCTTTTCATCAGTAAAATTGTGCAGCGTTAGGATGCGTAAATTTAAAATGGCTAAATCTGCATCTGGGGTCAGTTATTGATATGTGTACATGCAGACATTTAGGCCTGGTTCACACCCGGGCATTTTGTAGTGCGTTCCTACGCTCTGCAAAACGCTCAAACACCGAAATCCCATTATTTCCTATTGGTATGGTTCACACCTGGGCGTATTACAGGCCGTATGAACGCGCTACAGAACGCCCTATGCCCAAAGAAGTACAGGAGCTTCTTTGGGGCGTATTTGCCGCGCGTATCAATTGGGATACAGCCAGGTAGCCCTCGGAAACGCGCATATTCGATGCGCCTAGGTGTGAACCCAGCCTTAAGGTAGAGTGACTAGAGGAAGAATTGTGCAGATTTGTGTGTTTTACGCTTCTAAGCGTGTGTTTAACTGAAGCACTTACTGACCATTGTGGTTAACTTGTACTTGTAATGAGACACATCCTGTTTTACCCTCTGTGACATCATCGCTAGACTTTTAAAATCCTTGCAGGGGCTAGAATCTGGGAGGTAAGTTCCTATTGACGTTGACATGCTTCCAGAACTGCATTTCACAAAAGCCCTTTCCCTTCACACAGTGTGTAGCCAGGTTCTTGGGAGTCAAAGCAGATGTATGCTTGTGAAGTGGAACAGGGAGAGGGAAGGTGTATAGGCAGTTCTGTAGTCCAGCAGATAGGGCGGACAATGATGGCGGAGATTTCATTGCATCAAAAGCACATTGTTGTCAGCTCAAGCAGGTTAGGAGAAACCTGGTTTAATGGCAGATCAAGAGGAATTTTTCTGCAGAATATAAAAAAAAAAAGTTTTTTTATATGCCCATCAGGGGTGTACACAATTAGAGGACGTCAGGAGTGTGCACATTGGGACAGCAGTGTTGGGGCAAAGCCGAGACTCCATGGCATTAACAATCATTGCAGAATTAGATTCTTTGGCAGCTAAAACAGTTACATATTTATGTACAACTATCTATTATATGAATAGTGAAAATTCGCCTTTACACCACTGACTAAACATTTCTAACAAACATTCAAGCTTATCTAAAACCAAAAACGCAATGTAATATATTGCAGTTTACTAGCCCTTAGATGTGGTAGCCGCATTTGTTTTTTTCCATGCTAATTACATTTTCCGCATGTGCAGAAAAAAACCTGTTGATCCTGCTAGAACTCTGATCTAGAGATCTATGATTAAAGAAGAACTATGAGGTGAGTGATTTTCACTCAACCTCATAGTTCGAGCCGACGTGTGACAATGAAACTGTCACACGTCGGCTCAATAGATCGGGAAGTGAGCGAACACATACAGTCACTCGCTCACTTCTCAATCCTGTCCATGCAGAGAGCTATGACTGTCACTCACGGCTCCCTGCAGGGATTCCCCCCTCCCCTGTCCGATCATCCAGCGCTGACTGGTTGAACGGACGGGGGAGGGGGTGGATCTCGACAGTAATGTCGGGATCTGTCCCGGCTGCGGAGGTCTCAGTATATCGTGAGCTGTAGCTCGCGGTATATTGAGCTTTGGATCACGGAAGGACCCTAGTTTGTGTCCTCCCGTGACCCTTAGGAGAACTATGGGGAAAAACACTTACCCCCATAGTTCTCCTTTAAGCCCTGTTTAATGGTTTAACATGTCAGGGCCAGAGGACTTAAGCGGGCATGTGTTTGTACCATCTTGTGGAATAGGCAGATTTCTGCTGAACGAGGCCTAAGGCTTTTGGTGCATACAAACACTAAAAGGATATTTGTTGGCACCCAGTGTCCCTGTCTGTGTAGCACAAGAAGATTCTCTTTCATCTTTCGTTTGATACATTTATTTCAGAAGTTTTATGATAATTACAAGTAGTGGCTTTCTTTTCTATGTGCATCACATCATACAAACAGCAGACACTTTACTGATGGATAGTACAGACATAGCTTGTGAAATTTATATTAGAAAAAGATCCTGTATAGTGCCTTGGAATAAGTGGAAGTTTTCTCTGCAAAATGAGACACTAACACAGAACAACATTTTTAAAAAATAAACATGGCTTATAACCAATTATATCAATACAGAGAATACACTTTCAGCTCTGTAGTTCTACTCTTTCCTTTTCACATTTACCTAATATTTCTGTCATTAGTTCTGATGGAAACAGCAGGCCCATTTCCCATCCAACACAGCTTCTTGAATGGTCTGATGTAATTTAGTACATAGATTTCTCATACAAAAGGAGCATGAAGTGTGAGTTATGAAAAACTTTTCACATAACAGTTGCATGCTATACCAACTATACATAGATCATTTCATTTTGCATGGAAAGGTCTACTTTTAAGTAAATTTGTTATGATAGAAATATGCAGTTGCTGCCCTTTGCAAGTTCATTTTAAGAGCTAAATTGGGGGCACCCTCAATTTTTCGTCTGGAGATCTATTTTTCAAATGACGAGCTCAATGAGATCTACCAACGAAAAAACACCTGCGTTCAGGGGCGGGAGGGGGCGTGGCGGTCCATTCAAGTCAATGGCACTGCAGCCGGGCCCCTCACCCACAGTGCGATCGCCTGCACCCGGAACCCAGGCACATTAGTGCCTGTGTTCCGTTCCAGTGCGATCTGCAAAAATGCTGCAAGCACTATTTTTGCAGATCACACTTTACCGGAATGCAGGCACCAATGTGCCTAATGTGCGGGCGATCAAACTGTAGGCGGGGGACATGGCTGCAGTGCAACCCCACGCCCCTGCATGCATTCCAGTGAGTTCTAGAGGCGCAGACGTCCTATCCTCCCGCGGTGCTTGTGTGGCCAACGTTGCACATGGGGAGAGGTGTCCCTTTCCGTCTGCAGCGTCTGACACATTCAGCCGGCATCTGCATAGGCACCGCGGGAGCATAGCAGTAGCCAGCTCCTTTTGCACACGTGCCAAGACAAAAAAAAAATGCCCCCCCAACAGGCGTGGGACCCCAACAGGCCCCTGGAGGCAGCGCCCTGCCTCCAGGATTTTTTATTTCATTTTTATTATATCTTATTTAATTTTTTTTTTATTGTTGGGGGGGCTTTGGGGAAATATTAGGGGTCTAAACAGCCCCCTGATATTTCCCTTTTAAAATAGAAAAATAAATTGAGGACACAAAGTCCTCAATCTCTTTTTCTGCAGCCTCTGTTCTAAATGAATGGAAAGCACAGAGGCTTCCCATTCATTCACAAAATATTTACTATCACCAGTTTCTGAATGGGGAGGAGCCTCTGTACAGAGTGCGTCTCCCCATTGAGAAACTCATGAATGAACAGGAAGTGATGTAAATCACATCGTGTTCATTCATAACTGGGGACACATATTGCTATGTGTCCCCAGTTATTTACAAACACTGGAGTGATCAGCTGATCGCTCCAGTGTTTGTCCTGCACAGAGGATTGGTACATATCATTGATGACGGAGCCGCTGTAATAGCAGCAGGTGCAGTGAGGATAGAGAGATCCGCCGGCTGTCAGATGCAAGCCGAGCGGCTCTCCCCTCACCTCGGTGTGCTGCTGTGATATCGGCTCCGTCCCCCGCCGCCGACTGCAGGACATCGCGATCTACCAGTGATCGCTACGTGATCAACTGGTAGATCGCGATCGACCTTATGGGCACCCCTGATCTAAATCCTGCGTCAAATGGAACAAGCTCCAACGCTTTTACAGCCACTACTAAATATGTAAAAAAAAAATGTGTGTGTGTATGTGTTGCTATTAAAACAAAGTGAACTGAAACTATGCAATCCGTGGTCCTTGTATTTGCATATCTTTTGTGCAAGTTGCCTGACTGCAATTTTACCCCCTGTTTTTTGTACTTCTGAGTAACTGACCTGGAACAAGTATGCAGATTTGGAGGTGGTTAACTTGTACTTGTAATGAGACACATCCTGTTTTACCCTCTGTGACATCATCGCTAGACTTTTAAAATCCTTGCAGGGGCTAGAATCTGGGAGGTAAGTTCCTATTGACGTTGACATGCTTCCAGAACTGCATTTCACAAAAGCCCTTTCCCTTCACACAGTGTGTAGCCAGGTTCTTGGGAGTCAAAGCAGATGTATGCTTGTGAAGTGGAACAGGGAGAGGGAAGGTGTATAGGCAGTTCTGTAGTCCAGCAGATAGGGCGGACAATGATGGCGGAGATTTCATTGCATCAAAAGCACATTGTTGTCAGCTCAAGCAGGTTAGGAGAAACCTGGTTTAATGGCAGATCAAGAGGAATTTTTCTGCAGAATATAAAAAAAAAAAGTTTTTTTATATGCCCATCAGGGGTGTACACAATTAGAGGACGTCAGGAGTGTGCACATTGGGACAGCAGTGTTGGGGCAAAGCCGAGACTCCATGGCATTAACAATCATTGCAGAATTAGATTCTTTGGCAGCTAAAACAGTTACATATTTATGTACAACTATCTATTATATGAATAGTGAAAATTCGCCTTTACACCACTGACTAAACATTTCTAACAA